ATATAATCATTAAAAATATCCGATATATATCGGTGTGTGTTTTCAAACGGAATGACAAATTTAATATATATTCCATCTTAAGGTGGATGTTAAAAAAATTGCGCATTATTAACATATACATATCGCACATTTGCTGCAAGAAAGGCATAACTCAAAAAAAAAAAAAAAAAAAAAAAAAAAAATTTGCAGAGAATGCTTTTTAAGTTTTCAATTTACATAGACATTACATAGAACAGAGGAAATTCTATAGAGTCTCAATCAGAGTATGTTAGAGATATTCATATGATTTCTTTTAAGCAAACTGAGGTCTATTATAGCGAACAATCGTACATCGGTAACTCGAAAGTCACATTTTTTGAGATATGCCATGCAGCAAATGAGCGATATATACTTTTTGGGCCTTTGCAGAAGTAATGACAAACCATATGTTATTTCCATTCATTCTTCTATTAATATTCCGTGATTCGCCATGGCCTCCCTAATTGCAAAACAATGCCTTGGCCAATGTGCAGCAAAAAAGGCGAAATTTGTTTGTCTATTCATGTGGATGGATACCAACGGTGAATGCCTTTATATGTATTTCCATCATTATAATAACGTTATCATTATATTGTTCTCATTCCGTTGCTGCCTTTTCCTAACTTTGTTGTTGTCTGGTGGTTGGTGTTCTTTTTTCTGTCATGTGAACACGTTGGCAGTCACAGCTCATAACTCTTTGCCAGTCACTGTCAAAGGTTTAACTTCATTTCCGTTACAACCACCGTAGTCCGCCCACGTCACCGTAGCCCATTAATATTATTTCCTGCAGCTAAATTTTCTTATAAAGTGCACACACACCCAAAACAAACGGGAAAATACCAGTACAGTTAATTTGTGAATAATTATCCGGGAAATAAGGAAAACGACGTAAAAAGGATACCATGAATCGCATTCAGCTGTAAGTAATCAATTTAATCTCATATAGCTAAGGTTTTATTTGCAATTTTTTATTGCCGAAAATTAAATGAACTGCCAGACAGGCCGGCAGATAGGCTTAAAGACATTCTACAAGTCACCGCAGACACAGATTTGTTACGTTTAATCGAATTGGAGATATATCAATCGAATCGTGACAATGGCAATTTCACGTTCCATGAGTGATGTGTGCGTGATTTGACACCATTCTTCAAAATAAGGAAGTTTTGTGGCCAAATAGAAAAAGTTTCTGTGTGAAAATTGTATAAATAAAAGCATTTGCATTAGAGCTCAATTAGTTGTAGTTTTGTAGCGGAAAAAGTGTTGGTGACCCACAAAATGTCTTCGAGGAACTTTCATTAACCAACGTTTATATTAATTTAATGGTGTTTTAAAGAAATGGTATGTACTATAAATGTTTAAATTGTTTTATTTGAATAATGAAATACATATCATCTTTTTACGTTCTAATAAAAGTCTTTCGTGCTTGAACTTGAAACAAAATTCCAATCAAATTTAATCAATAAAAATGTGATTTATTATTGAGAGTTTTTCAATTATTAAGTGAAAGTGCATTTATTTACAAGCAGCACCCGGAACGATATGCATACAAATGTGTGTTTATTTAGAATATATTTTTGACTGTTTGATTCCAATTTGACATACATTTTTACACCTTGATTTGAAGAATAGTGGAATATAAGTTTTATTTAATATATACATATATGAATTATTGGCAATTTTTATATTTTTTTAATGTCTTGCTTGGTTTCCCGCTATATACATTATTTTTGTAGTGTGGGCTATAATAAAATGGAGATTTGCTAATGAGAATACAAAACACCAAATTACAGTCAATTCGACTGAAAATGTCCTATGCAATGAGAATCCAAAATACAAAATTACAGCCATGTTGGTTGGATAGCGTGTCCAAAGTCCCCAAAATACCGAACTGTATTTGCTATATGGGGGCTACCCTGAAACTTGTGTCATTATTAATAATTTTTGGAACGGATACGTGCAATTCAATGAGAAGCAAATTGAACCCAATTCGGCGGAAAAGCGTGTCCCCAGAATACCGAATATTGGGGGTTATTGTTATATGAAGGATACACCAAAACGTGGACCGATATATCCCATTTGCAATACCAAGTTTTATGAGTACTAGCAATGTCCATGCAAATTTTCAGAGTCCTATATTAAATATTGCGATCTCTATCGTGATTTCAGACTGACCGAGTCTGAAAAATTCGACTCAGAATTTTATTATGATCAAGAATATATATATATATATATATACTTTATGGGGTCCCCGGTTGTAAACGGAATGACAAATTTAATATATACTTCAATAAGTTCAGCCGAAAAAACTTACCCTACGGACGCCAGTCGTACGTGGATTTCCGGAATAAGAAGAGTGAAACAGGTATTTACCTAGGTTGTAATGATATCTTCGGAAGTGTTTAACCTCTAACTTTCCTTGAGATCGTTATGTGTGCAGATGATTGTCGGATCCTATCGTTGTGTAAGGTTGAACGCGCGGAATATGAAAATATCCACCATGAAATCTTCGTCATTATTAATAATTTTTGGAAAGGATACGTGCAATTCAATGAGAAGCAAATTGAACCCAATTCGGCGGAAAAGCGGTCCCCAGAATACCGAATATTGGGGGTTACCGTTATATGAAGGATCCACCAAAACGTGGACCGATATATCCCATTTGCAATACCAATTATTATGAATACTAGCAATGTCCGTGCAAAATTTCTGAGTTCTATATTAAATATTGCGATCTCTATCGTGATTTCAGACTGACAGAGTCTGAAAAATTCGACTCAGAATTTTATTCTGATCAAGAATATATATATACTTTATGGGGTCCCCGGTTGTAAACAGAATGACACATTTAATATAAACATCAATAAGTTCAGTCGGAAAAACTTACCCTACGGACGCCAGTCGTACGTGGATTTTCGGAATAAGAAGAGTGAAACAGGTATTTACCTAGGGTGTAATGATATCTACGAAAGTGTTTAACCTCTACCTTTCCTTGAGATCGTTATCACATGGACTGTGGAGATGGGAATGTAATTGGATTCGCAGGTCGAGGGCAACAAATAGGGGCAGATAAGGAATCCTTGTTGACCTCTTATAAAGCGATAGTTCGTTCTGTGGCCAGCTATGCGGTGTCAGTGTGTTCCGCTAGTACTAGTCCTACGCAATTTCGAAGTATTCAGAACTGTCAGAACAGCGCTTTGTTGACTATTTTCAGGAGGAGACGAAGATCCTTCCCCTATGTCAGCATAGCGATATGCTGACATATTTCGCTGCAATACCTGCTTGCCTGCTTCCGAGAGAATCATACCAAACATCATATGTTGGATAAAACTTCCCTAAAGAAATCCAATGCTGTTGAAACATGTGCTATACCATGAGAACCCAAAATGCCAAATTAGAGCCAACTTATGTTTAAAAAGTTTGGTTCAATTCGGACATTCCGTTCGTCTAATATTGGATTTATAAATATTGAAAATATTGCACCACAAATACCATTTGTGGGGGAGGTACAAGAAGGAGTTGATCAATGGGTCCCATCTTCAAACTTTATCTAGGCTTCGTAAAGATAATAGGTGGTGCAAAGTTTGGTTCAAATCGGACATTCCATTCACCTGATATTGGATTTAAAAATATATAAAATGTTGTCCATTCGTGGGGGAGGCACCAGAAGGAGTGGACCAACGGGTCCCATTTTAGTACTTGATCTAGGCTTGGTAAAGATAATAGGTTCACATTTTGGTTAAAATCGAATAGTCCGTTCGTATGATTTTATAAAATTAATTTTTAGCACAATTTTGACCATTTTATGGGTTAGGTGCCAGAAGGAGTGGACCAAAATTTCCCATATTCGAACTTGAACTAAGTTTGGTAAAAATATTACAATCCAAAGTTTGCACTTTGGATAAAATCGATTATTACTTCGAGAGATATCGTGCGCACCAGCCGGCCAGACAATATTTGATCCTATGTTTCTGAAATTTAGTATTTATCGGAGCACATTTAATCTTCTAGCAAAAAATTACATAACATTGTCTCCATATAAATATCTCGACCGATTTGAGGAACTTAACGACATTTCTATTGTTTACTGTGCAGAAAATATTTTTCTTGGTAAATGACAAAAAACGGTGCTGCACTCTAATAAACCCACACTGAGATACAGCAATCGATGAATTGCATTCCATTCGCTCGTTGTGAAAAAGAGGTGGAGGTATCAATAAAATAGATCATTTCGATGCACGCAAACCCACAAAGTTTGCGAAAAAATCGGCGTAAAATCAACAAAGCCCAGGTGAGACATGTACACATTCCGCGTCGTATGTCGTACGTAAAGTGAATGTGGCGCCTACGCTAAAACGACATGTAATGGTAACCATGAAATAAAAAACGAAGGGCCTCTGGCAATTTAAATCCGCAAGAAAGGGTAGGAATTATTGGAGTTGGTTGCGAATTGTATGTATTCAAGTCAATTGGAATACAACTTTGAACTTTTATTTAGTCGATAGATCAATAGATTTTAGTTAATTATTTAATGATTAAAGGCCATATAATATATTGGTGTAAGTTTAATCGTACAATCGTACAAGTATAGGAATTAAAAACACCAACCAAGCTAAAAGACAATACAATTTTTGAAATATAAACTGTCACTATTTTGTAATTCTGACTTCTCAGCTCAATAATTTTCTAAATTATCCCTCGATTGTCTTTTATCCCTTAAACCAACAAGGTCTAGTTTGGTTGCACATTGGAGCAACGAATGCATGAATGTTTTGTCGTCACCCACACCGCACTCATGTTCTTAAGTCACGATGTGTCAGACATAACCACATCATCAGGTGGGGGTGACAATGAAACTGAGTATGTTTGCCAGTTGGGGGAATGTAATGGAATGCAAAAATTGGAAAAGAAAACTTTATGGTTTTAAGAATTCACAGACTTGGTTGAAATGTTGCACAAATGTGCAGAGTCAGTCAGTCACATGCAAACGGTGCATGAAGAAAGTAAATTGCTGCAAAGTTCAGGGATACAATAAATCTTCGGTAGTCAGTAGAAATGTCATCATGGAGCAACATGAAATCTCGGTTAGTTGAATTCAATTTTAGGGTTCCTCTAAGTTGTGTTACCTAATTCGTTTGATATCCCGTTGCATATTCAATAACAATTGTTTGCTTTATGTTTCAGAATCACAGCTTCTGTGCGAACCACAAATCGCATGAATGCCTTGTTGTCTGAGTCTATGCTGGGACGACGTAAGGCCTTGACAAAAATGGCCACTGTGGATGGAGATAATGAAACGGAGGAGGCAAATGCAAAACCACCTCGAGATTGGGAATTTTTCAGAACAAATTTCAGCATGGAAGAAGTTTACAAGCTCATAGAATCTTCGATTGAAGAGCGTTTAACATGGGATCGGTTCAGTCGTTCTTACGATTCGTGGCGTTCTCTACAGTTGGCTGAAAGTTTGGCCAGTGATATACGTGATCGAGTCAGGGCATTTAATCACAAAAGGTAGGTGGAAATTGGAATCTTTTAAAATTATATTGTAATTGTTTTTCCCTCTCTCTCCCTTCTGCAGGCATCGCATCGTTTGCATTCTGTCGGTGATTGAGAAACAAAATCAAGGCATTCACATGAGCATGCGCCACTTGATGGACGAGAAAATGGACAATTTTACAAAACTTGTCTATGAAAGACCATCATATTTCATTGTGGTTGTCGTTTATTTAGTTTATAAGGATTGAAGTAAAAAAGTTCCATTATTGAATAATTAAAATAAAATGGCGTGGATAGAAAATTATTTTCATAATTTATTATTATTCAGTAGTGGCGGTGGGCTATTTGGGATACCATTCGTATTTTGTTTTTGCAAAATAGTTAGGCTGAATCCCAGTTTGTTTTTTTATAAAAACAATTATTTATTAGTGGGAATGTATGGCATTGTCCGCGGATGAGTAAGGCAGAGAAGACTATAGTTTCGGATCTCGCCACTGATCCTTATCAGTTCCTTTAGTTTTTTTGTTGGGATATTCTCGTCAGAAGCTATTTGTTGCTTCTTTACAAAAAACCTTTCATACCCAAATGTCTCTTGTGACAAAACGAAGTACTTACGCTACCAGCGATAACACCTCAATGGGAAGTTCGTTGGTGGGGAGAATATTTATTATTATTTTTAAAATGTGAATTATGGTATGAATTATTGCCAAACGTAATAAAATATTATATGAATCGAAGTGCCAGAAAAGATGAACCTTTAAGTACATAGCTTAAACTAATTCGGAATTTCAATTTTCTGTGAATGATATATGATCAAAATTGCGAATTTTTTTAATATTCCATTTTCAAAAAATTGTTTTTTGTTTTTTTTTTTCATACTTCATCAATGTTTTTGGTACATACATATCCTGACTACATATCCGTTCGCCATCCAATTCATGGTTGGTGCGCGCAACATTTATGGAGGTTTTTAATTGGAAATAAATGAAAAATATTTTAAATTACGCTGTTTATTACATTGATCAAAAGCGTTGATATATGGCGTCAAATATGAATATGGAGTTATTATAATAATTGTAAAAAAGTTTCATATTTTTGGAAATACGAGAAAAATAATAAAAATATAGGACACTACATAATTATTTTCATTATATTAAAGACATATATTCAACTATAAATTAACTTAGAAATATCTGTATGATCTAAACACCACGCTAGATCAAACGATAAGATATTGAGGAAAAGTATTTGTTTTCCTAGATTTCTAGATTTTTTTCAAAACATTTCAGAAAAAAATATTGGAGTTATTCTTCTATTGTAGCCAAATTTCACCAAAAAATTGAAATTTATAAAAATAATCATTTCTTGTGCACGTGTATACACCTTGTGGGATATAATAAGGCCTTTCTAATAAATCGCGTGATTCCGAAATATGAAATAATTTAAACTAAAACTATCCGATGCATATTGGGCCAGGGACGCCGATTTTAGTCCAAAAGTCGATTTTGAAATTTTCAAATGAGAGGTAGTACATTGTAATCGGCAATAGTGAATATAGCTTTTAGCAAAGTGATTTGATAATAAATTCATTATGTTCCATTTGGCAGCTATATAAACTTGAAAAAAACTTTGCAGTTTTAGAAAAAAATCTTTCTTTAAATGCTATTATTATTTTTTTAATGTATCGAATCATAAAAGTTTCTGAGTTTGTTATTTAGAACATAAACAACAGATATTTCCCAATATACTGCACACTTAATTTTTTAATTTAATTTATGTAATTTATGCCCTGAATCTAAATCCGATGTCAAAAATGCTACATCACATCGGGTTCTTGAAAAAATAGGTGTAAAAATCCTAAAAACGGCGTTTTTGGCATTTTTTGACAAGCCATAAGCGGTGGTGCTGGCACCACTAACTACGGAAAGTCTGCTTGTAGAGCTTTTAAAAGACCAGATTTGTTAGCTGAACTTTTAGGACTCAATGTTGACTTGATTCACAATTTTAAAACAGTTTTAACCGCTATTTGGTTAAAGCTACCAATTGATGCTCTTAAATTTGAACAACTCTGCGATTACACTGCAAAAACTTATGTCACTCACTATAATTAGTACCCAATGCCTTCAACTCTGCATAAAATTCGTATGCATCATAAGATCATGTATGCTACCTCTTGGAATGCTTGGCGAGGAAGCTTCCGAGGCTCGCTTCAAAGAATATAAGAACTTTAGACAATTTCATAGCTGAAAACAAAGACGCGAAGACACGTTGCATGATGTGTTCTATAGAACAATGGACACTTCCGATCCTCAGCTATCAGCAACATCTTTATCTACTCGTTTTCAACGCAAAAAATTTCTGAATCTTTCAATAGATGTTAGAAATTTATTGGCTGTTCCTGAAATAACTCCAATTAATGAGACTCTTGATGAAACATCTACTTCAAATGCAGAGCAAGTCGAAGAAGATGAAATTGAACACTCAGACCTTTCAGAAACCATGGTATTGCTAAACGAAGTCGGAAGAAGTCAGACGAAGAAGATTAAACACAAAAAAAAAAAAAAATAAAAAAAACACAAAAGATATAAATAAGAAATATGGAATAAAAAGAATAATAATAATAAAAGCGCTTCGATAGTCCAACTTTCTGAAACTAATGAAATAGTTGGCATTTTTTAAAACTATTTGGAATCATCAATTCCATACATCATTAAATAACAATTTCAAGCAATTTTAGTAGATTTTGAAATTTTGGTTAGCCATATTGTATCTGCAATTTTGAATTTTTTAAATCTGATTCCGGATTGGTAATCAGGGACCCCGAAAACCTCCCGAGTGACGGGAGGTTTTGAAAATAATGTCCGCGATATCGGATCCGCCATTTTGAAATTTTAAAATCTGATTCCGGATTCGTAATCAGGACCCCGAAAACCCCTTATCTTATCAATTTTCGAAAATATTGTCAGCTATATTGGATCCGCCATTTTGAATTTTTAAAATCTGACTTCAAATTCGTAATCTGCGACCCCGAAAACATCTCAGTAACGATTTTTAGGATAATATTTTATCTTTTTAGACGTTTGCGTTGCTGGCTCACTGTGCGATGGTGCGAAATGAAAAAAGTAAAATTGTTCCTTCCTTAAATATAATATGAGTAGTTGATTAAGTTAAACAAAATACAGGGTTTTATTTCAACATAGATCATTTTTGGTATAAGTTTATTAGAAAATATATGGAAAGGCATTACTAATCGTGAAAATGTATTATAAGTAAAATCAATATTTTATATTCATTAATGTCACAAAAATATATAACTTCATTACTCTTAATTTATTGCATATATATTAAATGTTTTGCATATTAAATTTTATTTAGTACGCGATGCACTGAAGTCCCTAAAAACTCGTAAAACGCGAATAATTTCCAAAAAGTCCGTACGACCTTTAACCACATCCTATTTTGGTGTACATTCTAAAATTATACATCGATCTATAGGTATTTCAATGCGGTACGTCAATAATCATTCATGTCGTAACTCTCTCTATTTCTGAGGTAAATTGGGTACAACACTCTTTTGGCTGAAGTTTTTACAGTTCTGTTTTCGCAAAAGTTCAATATCCGTATCTGGCCAATTATTGAAACGGAAATGATCTATAGAAAATGCAATTAAGTCCGTGATATTTTCAAAAATATTTTTTGTCGCGGACCAGTTCCCGCAGTTCTAGTATATGCATTTTAACGAAGAAGATTTTATTTTATCTGGAACGTAAAAAGGCTTGCTGAATCAAATGATGGACATGAAAATGCCTCACCCTGTTTTACTTATTTTTTTAATTAAAGTAAGTGCAGCTTTTACGAAAATATAATTTGGATGTCAATATAAAGAAAAGTTTGCAACGACCGATCAATAAATCCAAAACGATTTAATTTTTCTCATATACTTTAATAATTGATAATAATATACTTTAACAAATTGACAATATTGCCCATGTATATGTTTGGCTTTCAATATAGATATAACACTGAATATGTAAAATATGAAATTCCGCAGACTACAGGTTTACTGACATATTTTTAACATGGCCCAAATACCAGGTCACCGAGAAGGCGAATTCCTAAAAATATATTGGATGACCTATAACATCAACTGCCATTAAGCCTGCGTATTTCGAATAAAAACAAAATTCAAATGCTATTCCAAATAAACCGCCAACATGATTGAAATCTAATATTTTCGTTTGACATTTATATGTGTCTATAGATTCCACAAAAAATTTGAAGAGAAAAAATGGACCTATGTTAGGAGGAGTTATTTTACTCTCTTAAGTAACAAAAGTTCCGTTCCTAAAAGAATCTATTCTTTTTACATGTTTTGCAACTTTTTACTCGAAAACCTTTCCTCAACCCAAAAAACTGGTAAAACATTGAATCAAATTTAAGAGAGCACCATTTTGTTTTGTGCTCTCTTAAATTCGTTCTCTTTGTAAACTTTTTACTCGAGAAATTTGGCCGAGTAAAAATGGTAAACAGGAATGCCTACTTCTGATTGGCTGTTATGCTGATTTTGAAGTATTGCCATCTAATTTTGGCATATTTACTGGATTTGCGTTCCCGAACTTTTGAAATTATTTCGTACTCTGAGAGCAATTTTGAAATATGTCCCTTTCACTAGATTTTCTATTAAAAAAGTACTGGAACAGACTGGAACAAAAACACACCCTTATAAAGGGATGCGTCATTCTAGATCTTATTCTGTACACAAAGCTAAATCTCGTGTAATTCAGGCAAATGTTGGATTTATAATGTTCCATTTGCATAGCGTATTGGATTGAAATCGGTTAAGTAAATGAGCAGTGTCAAATTTTATTTTAATTGAATAATAAATACCACATAAACTCTGTTAACAAAAATACACGAACATATATTACTCTTTGTACAAAATATATTACTCTTTACCACAATATCGTGTAGGGTATAAAAATGTGTATTGTATTCCTATGAAACAGAGTGCGCGCCAAATTGTTATTTGTTGTCTTGTTGTACATCCATATATTTTCTATTTTGAATTGCCTTTCTTACTCTTGTAGTACAGACACAAACCACAAATACATTATACAGGGCGACTCACATTAATAAACTTCTTTGCCATTGCTCTTGTAGGATGGTATACAGAATTTATCACTCCCTTTGAAACTCCCCGATATATTTGTTAAAGAACGTATAAGGCAAGCATTGTTGAACAGTTTGG